TCTGAAAACAATATATGTTATAAAGACAGACAAACTGAACAACATTTGCCTCAGAGTTACCTCCAAATTTGATACCAAATTCGAATTAAAAATAAATAACGAAAAATAAAAAATAATAATAGAAACAAAAAATTTGAAGAGAGAATTATAATCAGTGTACGGGCGGGCATGTTTTAAACACCTCCATCTTTGAAGATTTTTTTTTTTTTTTTTGATTAGTGAAATTCCCTGAAATTTCATAAATGTGTATCTCACATGATACAAAACTCATTATAAAAACATAAAAAAATAAAAAAATTGTTTAGGCCCCGAAACTAAGTGAAAACAAAAAGAGAAGAGAAAAAAAACAAAATAGTGAGTGGGTGAGCATGTTTTGACACCGCCATCTTTGGCGATTTTTTTTTTTTTTTTGGCTTAGAAAAATTATCTCTAAATTTAGAGGCATGTACCTCACATCATAGAGAACTCACAAAACAAATTTCAAGAAAAAATAATATTTTTAGGCCCCGAAATTTTTTGGCGGGGGCCGAACCTCTTCAGGTTCGGAGGGGTTCGGCCCCCAAACGTGACCCCGAACGCTTGAACGTACGAAGGTTGGCCCGGGGGACTCCGTACGTACGGGCTGGTAACCCTATATATATCGTCACAAATAGAACTGCCCGGTAAACCGTAGGCAGAGAGAGAGAAGAGGACAACAAACGAGGGGCTGTGACAAACTGTATATATATATATATATATGATACACCCACGTGGGCGACCTTGTACGCAAAAGGTTTTGAACAAGGGGAGTTGTAAGTAAGAAGATAAAAAATTAATTGACCTTTTTTTTCCCGCTTTAGCATTCTGACATTTTTGTGACAATATATATTATATATTTATTATTTATTATTATTATTTATTTTTTTTGTGAACCTGAGCAGTAGTGCCCTCACAGAGGGCATACTCACACTATAACTTTGGGGCAAGTATCTACCTTGTATCACGTCTAGAGGGGTGTTCGTTTTTTTTTTCTTTTTTTTTTGTGGTTGTGAGTACGTCGTTTTTCTAAAGTACGGCCGTGTTTTTTTTCTTTTTATTTTTCAGAAGAGTACTAGAAAAGAAACAGAACATACCCCAGATGCAGCAAAACTCGGTGCGCAGTGGAAATCAAGGTCGGCAGAAACAAACTCTGAGGTAGTGGTGGTTTAACCTTTGCACAAAACTTCTAACAAATTTCTTAAAAGACACTCTGAAGAGTGAGACAACATTGAAACTAAATTTATTGTATAAGAATTTTGATAAAAACTCATAAAATAACTCATACAAATGCAAAACAAATTATATTGCATCACAAACTTCTATAAAATGTTGGAAAATGATCATGTTGTATGAAATAAATTTCTTATGAAAACTAATACAAAAATTCATGCAAAACAAATCATATCGCGTCTCAAAGTTCAATAAAATATTGAGAAAATGATCAGGTTCTTTGTAATCAAACAAGTTTCTTATGAAATATCACCAAATGTGGACAATCCACTGGTAAAGCAGGCGACCCCAGTCTTGTATAGGGTGAATATTGCTTCTCGGTGTGTCCTCTTCATGTTTGCGAGATTCAACTTCAAGATCAACAGGGTGTTATCATCCTGTATTAAGGTTTAGGGCTTACAATTTCAATGAAAATTGTGTTTATGTGGTAGAAAGGTACAATGACTCTGTTGGTCACACTTATATTAGGGCCTTCACATTCTCTTTAGTTTATATGTGGCTGCATTAGTGTGTTTCTATCTTCATTTATCTGTTTTTCTAATATCTAGATGTTCATTCAATTGTTTGAAAAATCAAGGCATACTCACACTACGACTTTCATTAACGTGTCTGCATGGACAAGTGTGATGATAAAGAAAATGCTACAAAAGTACCAAGGTAGCTCAACATAATACAATTCAAGGAAAGGTAAAAAGTGTAAGGTAGTGGTCTTAGTTGCACAATGGAGAATATCAAGAAAAAGGTAAGTATGTTACTACGCTTTCATTCACATCACACACAAACATAAACCTAAACAACCTGTCAATCACATGAGCACAAGTAATCCATCCTTGCATCTCCCCTTCGATACGACCACCATGCGAGTTCACCGTCCCTATAGATCATCGGAACAATATGCCCACTTTGGCTGGCTGTGCTCAGCTCATCGACCTTGTTAAACCAGCCACCCACTGGAGCTGTCGGCCCTTCGACCCGAGCTGGCTACTTATATATATATATATATACATAGGGTCACCAGCCCATACGTATGGAGGTCCCCAGGCAGACATCCGTACGTATGGGCGTTCGGGGTCCCGTACAGGGTCCGAACCCGACGGCGTTCGGCCCCCGCCAAAAACTATTTCGGGACCTAAAAATAATTATTCTTTTCTGATTTTTTTTTGTGAGTTCTCTATGATATGAGGTACATGCCTGTAAATTTTCAAATCATTTGGCTCAGCCAAATAAGAATTAAAAATTGCCAAAGATGGCGGTGTCAAAACGTGCTCGCCCACGTTTTTTTCACTTTTTACTTTTTGTTTTCACTTTAGTTCGGGGTCTAAACAATTTTATTATTTTTTGAAACTTTTT